GTACTTGAAAGGTAGCTACAGTATGGGCTGATAAAGGTCCATTTGATATGCAGTTGGCCACGGGAAATTGACCCAAAAAAGTACTTCGGGCCTTCGGCCTTTTTCTCTGCCTGCCTTTCCCAAGTTCTTTGGAAGCTTACACAAATAGCATGGATTAAATTTTGGGAAATTTTCACGTATAGCCCAATATAGAGAGAGAATTCCAAAAACACTAACACAGTTTTTTTTTTTATGGACAATACATAAATCAGATTTTTAGTAAATACTATTTCAAATTAAGGATATAAATTTTAAATTTCAAAAATCAGGTATTCATTAAATTCTATTTATGATTTAATTAATTAATTAATTATTTTATTAATAAATATAAAAAGTCACATATATATGAAATTTGGTCATAATTCAAAATTTTATAGGTCACAATTAGTTCATCGATCACAAATTAAAAATTTAAAAGTTATAATTTGTTCATTGGTCACAAATTTTATAGTCACAAAACATCAAATTATAGGTCACGGATTACTTTTATTGGTCACAAATTAATAAATTTATAGGTCACATAGTATTTATTGATCACAATTTATTCTTTATTGGTCACACACCAACTAATTTATTGGTCACAATCAACAAATCATTTGTGACCACCACCAACACGACACCACCGCCGTAATCATTTGTGTCATCTCCGCTGCCAACACAAACCACCACAGAAAACGCACCAACACCACCGTCATCTCTACCACCAACACCACCATTATCATCACTTCCAAGCAACAAAATCAACACTAACGCCAACACTAACAATACAACATCCCCACAACCTCATCAAAATCGCCGCCAAATCCTCCATAGCCACCAACAAAAATCAAAGTCGAAAAATCACCACACACATCCGATAAATCAACGACGGCGACCATTAGCAAACATTAGCCATACAACCCATCCGATAAATCAACCACAACAACCATTAGCAAAACATCAGCCATACACCCATCCGACATAGCCACATCAGCCATACAACCACCAGCAAACATCAGCTATACAACCACCACACCTATCAGATAAATCAAACTCGAAAAGAAAAAAAAGGAAATAACATATCGCAATAGAAAGGGGAAAAGAGGGGAATAGTGGAGGAGATATCAGGTCTCCGGAGACGCAGAGAGGGTGAGATGTGATAATAGATAGATGCGGTGGTGGTGCCGACGAGGTGGTACCAGTGGTGGTGCCGACAGGGTGGCGGTGACGGGGATAGAGAGATCGGGAAGAGAAAATAGGTCGGTTTTAAGAGATAGAGGGAGAGAGAGGGGAGAGAATGAAAAATTAGGATTTGAAATTTGATTTAAATAAAAATTAATTTAAAATTCATTAATTAAAACCTGAATTATGTGTTATTAAAATTGATTTTGGATTTGTGAAAGTGGTATTTTAAAAACCCGTGTAGCTGTATTTCCTCGTTTTTTTATTCTTGAAATACCATCTCGTAACATAAAATTACTAAATTACCCAATTAACATACATATAGGTAACTGATTGCAATCAAGATACGTATTTATCTCGAAGTCGTTAAATAGCTCATAAAATGTAGGGATTTATTATAGAAACAATTGGATTATTAAATAAAATTTGTAGTCATGTTTGATTGCACTTCAATTCCATGGAAGATGGAAATTAACCCGCTGTTTGTTTCTGATTTTTTTGTTCAAAAAATTGATTTATTGACCATTATTGTGCAACCAATGTGAGGAAAAAGTCAAAAAAGAGGACTGCCACGGTAAAAAAAGATATAAAATCTTGCTTACAATTTCTCCTAGACAGGCCCTAAATTCAATTTTCCACATTTTTGCATGTTTGATTGTCCAAATTTTTCACAGAATTGGTTTTCCATCTTTCACTCGACATTTTATTGGTTTTTGAGTTCTAGGAAACTTTTTTTAATAAATTTTTTGGGCAATAAAAACAAATTATATCCCCTTAATGAACAATTTTCATGAAAAACGAAGTCACACGAATACCAAAATATCCACAATTTCAATATTTTTCAGATAGAAAATTATACCAATCAAACACAATTAATTGACAATTCCCAGTAAAACAAGTTGTAGGCAATTCAATTATTTGAAATTCATTTTCTTTCCACCAAAATTACATTCTTGCAATCAATTGGACCATATGTGTATTTGGAGGTATAATTCCAAAATCCTTTTTCATTTTTTTTGAAATTTCTATTTCCGATCACTTCATATTACTTACTAAATAATGAAAAATCTTGTTTGGCAATTTATAGTCTTATGTTAATTTTTATTTCGAAATATAAGGCAATATATCGTAAGGCGTTGTATTGCTATAATACTGTCTTAAAATTTTTAAATATACTATTGTTACATGCATAATACAATGCTTATTTTCGTATCATGCTTTATATTCTATAGCAATTATGGCATGTCTAAAGGAGAAATATTATATAATTTATGAAACATGGAATGTTGTGAATGACAACATTTTCTTATGTGAATCTTGAATAATTAGTGGTTGCATATATATTTTGTTACAACCATCAATCATATTTTGTTACGATGTTATGTCAAGTTAATGATATATATGGAGATTACATATTGTATTTTTTTTGTCATGTTTTATGAAATTGTATTGTGTACTGAAATATGTTACATTTGGTACTTCAACAACTTATATATACTATATTTTGTCATGTTAATCATAGATTCATGGTATTCTAAGAGTCCTATGAGGTTTTATATTTAACTCAAAAATATTATAATTTTTGAATTGTAGAGAGAATATACCGTAATTGATATTCAAAATTTGGAGTAAAGGGACTGAGACATGGGCGGATGCAGGGGTTGCCTGGGGGGTCACGTGACCCCCAACTTTTGCTCCCTTTTTTTTTCCACTAGTAAATTTTTTATATTTTTATTTCAATTTTCGAAGTCATTATGAGATGTGAAACGAAATCAAAATATTGCATTCTTAATACAATTTCGAAGTGCTCATGGTCTAATTTTCTATATCGTTAATGGCGTACGAAACGATCAATCGTAGAAAATGTTACGACTTATCAAAGTAGGTTGTTCAAAGTTAGTATTTTGAAAATTTCGATAATATGCTAACTTTAAAAATTCTCCAACAATCGTACACTAGTCGAATTTACAAATTGCTTATGTCATCTCAAAACTTATTTCGAGAATTGCGTTATAAACATATCGAATAGTCCAAACAGATATCGAAAATAGTTAAATATGCGTTAAACGTGGGTTTTAAAGAAATGTGTCTAACTCGCATTTTCTTTAAAAGAATTCAATTATTTCATTAACCTTTATTTTTGCGATACAAATTTCTTAATGTAATTTTTATTAGGAAATTTTTTATGAAATATAACACAATTTTTTTTTCAAATTTTACATTCGAAAAAGTCACATCCCATTTAAATTTTAGGATGCAAAAATACATGGGGTATGATTTTTTTGAACGTAAATTTTAGATTGTAAAATTTATCCCAACTTCTTTACAAGTTCGATTGTGCCCCCTAACTTTAAACTTCTGCGTCCGCCCCAAAACTAAGATATGAAGACGAGAAATCATTGCGATTTTGGATAATAAATTTGGTGTATTTGATTTGGCATGTTTGGAGGAGTGATATAAGCTGGTTAACTAATTAATTGTAGGAGTGAAGTTGTTTATGACATTTCACTTTTACTCACTAAAATACAGTATTTATAGCGTGAAAAATGTGAAAATGTAAATTCAGAATTAGTAAATAAAATGGGGTTTGACGTGTAATTTCCACTTAAATTTTCATGAACATAAATGTCACGATGGATTGATATGTGATTAATTTTTAGTCTTGCATATTTTTACAAACTTCTCTCTCTTTTTTATTGATCTAGTGATATTTGATCGGTGACATCAACAAACTTCACGATCTAAAAGACTATCTACAAATTGGATTAACAATGTGTCCAACAACTAGAGTGGCATGTATGTTGATCATAGTTTTGCATGCAATTTTATTGCCTTCTTTAGGCTTGCTCGAAAAGCTATGCATGCTTAATGCATGCTCATTTTTTGAAGGTACGGCCTTTGCTTCATGTTTTTATTGGCGAATAAGGGTTTGTTTGACGTAGTTTTTGATAAAAGTTTTAATAGATTTTGGTAAAATTTATGAGAGTTAAGCCAAATATACAGAAAATAGGTTGATAGAACTTCTACCACCTCTCACATGAGGTGGGTCCTGTGTGGGACCGAGCTCAATAAAAAAATTTCTGACCCCACGCCTTGTGAGTGATCGGTGGGGGTTCTGTGAACCCCGACCTCTGTAAGCCCAGCAAAACTCAATTTATGAAATGAGTGATTGAAAAGTTAATCAAAGTTTTGAGTCACATTAAATGTGTGGCGGTTAAAATTGAAATTTGACTAATTGAAAATATGGTAAATTTAGCGAAATTTGATTGAACGAACATTAAATTTGCAATCACGTTTTACAGTGTATCTATTACGTTATATTCACTCTATACTCGATTAATATTATCTTTAATTCGACCAAATGATCAACTTTTTACTCGATTAATCTAAAGCTATTTTCGGTTTTTTTTTCCCATCTTCTCAGTTCTCACACTATTTTTGTCATCACACCCCCAGAAAAATCCTCTTCTGATAATAGTGTAGAGGACAACAATTTTGGGGCTAAAAAATTATGACCAGAAAAAAAGAAAATTGATATATTTTATTCTTTTGAATTTTCTTTAAAATATATATATTCTCTCTTTCTAGTCCAACTATTCAAGTCTTCCTGAGTTGGCAGTTTTCTCCGATTTTTTTTCCCTACCTTTGAAACATTCAAAGCTGTTCATAATTTCTTGATCACCAAAATTCTCATACCCTTCTTTAAAATTTCTCTCTCATTTTTCCCCTTTTAATGGTTATATAAAAATCTTTAATTCTTCACAGCCTCAACAGGAATTAAATGTTATGCAGCAGACAGGATGGCCTTTCGGAGCATTTCTTCTTATTTCTCACTCCTTGGCCTCCTGTCTCTCATCCTTCTCCACCCTATAATCACCACCACCGCCGGAATCCGCCTGCATGTCGCCCGGAAACCGTCCTCCACCACCAACCCCCCCTTTCGCGAGGCTCCGGCTTTTCGCAATAGCAATACATGCAGCTCAAATGTAAAAGATAATATTCATATTGTCATGCCCCTTGATACGAATTACATTCGAGGTACAATGGCAGCTGTTTTATCCATATTGCAACATTCAACGTGCCCCGAAAATGTGTCATTCCACTTCCTTTTGGCTCATCTTGAGCCCGAAATCTTTTCGTTGATCAAATCCACCTTTCCTTACCTTACATTCAAAATGTATCGATTCGACTCAAATATGGTTCGAGGAAAAATATCCAGGTCCATTCGACAAGCCTTGGATCAACCACTAAATTACGCGCGTATTTACATGTCTGACATTCTTCCTCTAGATGTCGAACGGGTTATATACTTAGATTCGGATATCATTGTGGTGGATGACATTGCAAAGCTATGGGAAGTTGATTTAGGTGACAAAATATTGGCTGCACCAGAATATTGCCGTGCAAATTTCACAAACTATTTTACAGACACATTTTGGTCAGATGTAAATTTGGCAACAACGTTTGAAGGGCGTAGGCCATGTTATTTCAACACCGGGGTAATGGTGGTGGACATCGACAAATGGAGAAAAGGAGGGTACTCACAGAAGGTTGAGGAATGGATGGCATTTCAAAAACAGAAGAGAATATATCAATTAGGATCATTGCCACCTATTTTGCTTGTTTTTGCAGGGAACATCAAGGCGGTGGAACATAGATGGAATCAACATGGATTAGGTGGTGACAATTTTGAAGGCAATTGTAGAGTTCTTCATCCTGGTCCAATTAGCCTCCTACATTGGAGTGGCAAGGGTAAACCATGGTTAAGATTGGACTCAAGGAAGCCGTGCACGGTTGACTATTTGTGGGCCCCATACGATCTCTATCGTTCCTCTAGAGTTGCATTAGAAGAATGATGAAGGATAAACATGAGGGAATATTGTTAAAAGAAACCAGCAAGTTATCCATAGACTTAGGAGAAGTCATTTCCTTCCATTGAACGAAATGTAAGATTGGGAATGCAAGGAAAGAATTGGGTTTTGTGAAGTTAAAGAGAATCTAAGGTATACAGTAGATTGATTTTTCTCTTCTTTTTTGTTAGGCTGTCTTGTTGTATTAAAATGTAAATTCTAACAAAATGTATCAATATTATGTTGAGCCGGCCGCACATTTTGGACCTGTATATTGAGCCAAGAGTACCTTTTTGCAATATGGGTAATCGGGGCAATACAATCCTTACCTTTATATGTTTTGTGCAACTCTAACTTTTCATTTTGGCGCAATATCCCCGATCATCCAAACCTTACGAAATACAACCATGCCGTCCAATTCTGTTAAAATCCTCTAGTAAAGAAAATTTGGCTTGCTTCCTATTTCTCTTTCCATTTTCATATATGATTATGGACATTTTCAATATTTTGGAGTCATATAACATATGGACATTTTCAACATTTTGGAGCCTAACATAAAAAGTTCAAGTTATTTTGACTAAAAAGCCCTTGTACACTTTAAGAGATTCAAGTGCACACGACAATTTAATGAAACGGGTCATAAATGTGCAGACTGTGCCGTGTAGAGAACCAGCAACATATCATGCATAAAATGGAAATGGAGGGACATGTGGGTTATGTGAGCCTAATTGCTTATAAGCATAATCCAATCCATTCGACCCAATGTTGAATGCTATTTAATTATCTCCACCATATTGGCATGTTCGGTATGTTCTAAACATTATTAAAAAAAATGAGATGTACATGATATTTGTTCATTATCATGTAATTCAGTATATCAAATATGTCATCATAAGAGCTTATGGATAAGGCTCTATTCTTTAAGATCTCCTTTCACAAAGCATATGCTCCAAAGGTCATCTCCAAGCATATATATCCTCCATAGCTGTCAGGACATCCAATATTTTAGAGGAAAAAAAGATAGAGCCTTTATTTTATGGCAAATTAAGAAAGGCGTAAAAGAAGTATATTCAATCAGAAAACATTTTGATCACTCGGGATAATGCGATCCAGAGAAACACGTTACAAAGCTCTGATTAACAGAAACACCACCGGGGCTCTCAGCTCCTATAAAACTAGCCACTTGTCCATGCTCAAGTTTCCAAACGAAATGTCAAACAATCTTGTTACAAAGATATAACATAATGAAAGCTCAATTGGTCACCTCTTTTCATCACGAAAAACTAAAATCTCCTCATTGAATAGCAGCATCAGGACCCATCATTGGAATATCCAAAATTTGATGGCATAAAATGTCAAAAAGAACGCCATTTTAGCCAATCAATAAAACGGAGTGCCTCGTCGAAACAAGATGTTTGAGAATTTCCATTAACCCTCTACACTTTTGGTGTGGCCACCACTGGGCATTTACCTAATGTATTCCACAAAATATATTCCCCCGAAGTAACCTGGTGTATTCATACAAATGCAAGAAGTATTTAGAAGAAACAGAAATCTTAAAGAACATCCAGAGTGAGTAATGGGATGCGGATTTACTGAATTTACTATAATATAAAGAAACAAAACATCCAGAGGATGTTTAACTAAATGTATAAATAAACTTTACTTATAATTGACATTTTTTTTCGTCTGGTAAGGTCTAAAGATTTTTTCTTCTAAGTAGAAAAAGTTAACTGTAACCGATAAAACAACATGAATACCCTTAGTAATTTGATAAAATTGCTGCTCGCATCCTAATCCCCCTCTCCATCGCCCCCGTCTCTTTAGCCCCCTCCCTCCCGCCGAACTGCAAATATGGTGGCATATTTGCAGTGGATTAGAAAGTGGTTGAATATGTATTTGGTGGCATATTTTATTTCTTCCATTCCGGCTACATGTTGAGAAGATAAATTTTATTGTCAGCTCAAGATATTCAGAAAAATTATTATGGGTAGAATCGAACCGAAATCGACGGTTTAGGTTCGGTTCGGTTCGGTTCGGTTCTAGTAATTACGTGGACCCAAATGGTTCCACTTGTGAAATATCCGAATTGTAACGGATGGTTTCGAGTTTAGAAATCCTGGAACCGTCCCACCCAATGCCCTCTTGCCAGCACTGCTTCCCATGTCCTAAACCACTTTCCACTCTCTAACTGTTCCTTCCCCAAGACCCCTGCTGGCCAGGGGTACAGCATGTTCCTCATCTCCGTCACCCAAAAACCCCAGTTCAATCTCAATTCCTCTCTACTGTCCTCTCCCCCTTCCTGCCATAATCGAGCCCTAGGTCACTACATCATCCCCCTTTCAGCCTTTCTCTGCACCACCGACAGGCCACATCTCCTCTACCACTGCCACTCTCCCCATCTCCACCAGCCACCTTTCAGCAAAGAAGACCAACCAGTAGATGAAATTATTTTCTTAATTACATTGACAATCACTTACATTGCAATGTCTCTAAAACTGCATTTAACTAGAATGTGGACGAATTGTGTTCGAATACTTCAATGACATAACAGCAACAACATATCCTCCTTGGTCATTTGGATCCTATCTATAAGCTGGTTTACCAAAACATAAAACTTCTTAATAAGAAGAATAGCATAGCATAACAAATATCTTAAGAGAAGTATTGCTACTCACATTATTTTAAAAAGCACCAAGTGGGTCATGACTTGAGGAGAGGAGGATTTTTTAAATGAATCAAAACTTAAGATATGAGACCCATTTTCAAGGTTTACTAATTGACTTGTCAAGGCTTAAACCTTAGGGCAACTAAGGTGTGCACTTGTTCATTGTTTTTTATATCCTAGAATGTTTTAATACTTTTTTGGGATATTTTAAACACACCTGAATCATAAAAATCAGAAATATAAAAGTAGAGGAAAGAGAAGAGAGAAAGAAACAAGCTTACCCTAGTCTCGTACAATTTCACTACTATATAAAAGAGCCACTTCTCACTTTTACTATTCATAAGCTGACAAACTGATTGTTTTTTTTGTCAATCAATCTAACTTGCCTATTTTGGTACTCAAAATCGTCGTTTTCAATTCTCTTAGTTAAAAAAAAATTCCGCCCCCCTCCATCCCCCGTATTTTTACCCCCACAAGATTGAAATCCTAGCTACGTCCCTGAGAATAACATTGGGCTCTGAGCTCCTATAAAACTAGCAACTTGTCCATGCTCGAGTTTCCAAGCTAAATGTTCTTACGAAGATACAAGATAATGGAAGCTCAATTGTCACAACTTTTCTTCACAAAAAGCTAAAACTGCCTATGTTGAAAAGATGCATCATGACTCGTCATTGGAATATCCAATATTTGATAGCATAAAATGTTGGAAAGAGCACATCTCAGCCAATCAAAGAAACAGGAAGCCCATAGAAACAAGATGTTCAAGATTTTCCATTAATCCTCTACACTTTTGGTGTGGCGACCACAGTGCATTTACCCAATGTATTCCACAAAACATATTCCCCTGAAGTAGCCTGGTGCATTCATACAAATGCAAGAAGTATTTAGAAGTCCATCAAAATGCAGTTAATATTGCAGAACTTAAGTGCTTCTTGATTTGCCTCGTAGGTGGACCAGGTAATGGGATATGACTATGATTGTGAAAGTGAGTTGCTTAGTTACTTATAAGTAAAAAAAAAAATTATGTTGAAGCTTATTTTTCTAGTGAATGTTTTGTACAATGGTTTGCTGTGGTCTTTTGGGGTGTGGCAATTGGTACAATGTTACTATAAATTTATGCATCCATTCATGTTTTTAAACACTTTATTTTTCTCTGTGGAGTTTAATTTCATAGTTATTATATGTAGAATATTGAAGCCTTGGCATTGCCAAAGTCAACACCACACTGGAACTCTTCGATGAGAACTCGAGCGGCAGAAGTGCATAATTGGTTGGAAAAGGTTTCTTTTTAATGGACAAAAATTTGTAGCTATACTATTTTCAGAATTTTCATTTTGGAGTTGGAGTTTGTATGTCTATATTCCTGTAATAAATTGTGGGTTTTGATATTATGGATAGCATTTGGCAGAGGAGGAGGAGCATGATTAATGAAAAAATGAAGGCGTTGCAAAATCTAATTCCAAATTCCAACTAGTAGAAACCACAAATTGTTATATTTTCCTTTTTAGTGTTTAGTTTTAATGTTGATTTAGTTAAATCTAAGGAGGTTTACTTTGTTATTTCTAAATGTTCATCCTTTGAAATTGTGATAGACAGATAAGGCTTCAATGCTGGATGAAGCAATTGAGTACCACAAGCAACTCCAACTTCAAGTATAGATTTGCACTTTATTCTGATTTTGTAGCTTTTCGATAGAGATTTCTGCAGATTAATGGGGTAATGCTAAATTTTACGGTTACATATGTATCTGTATTTAATTTGATTTCTCTATTTCATTTTATTGGTTTGATTTTGGTGGTTCATGTGATCCATTCTTTGCAACTCATATTTCTTGTTCCCTAATCTGCCTCTTATTGGTTCTTGTTGATTTTCTGTCGATTTCGTGTTGCAAAAGTCTACCTGTTCGATGAAAAGGTACGATTTTTTTGTTTTTAGAACACAAATCATAGAAATCTAACTTCCTACGGTAATTTTCAGTTAGATATTCTGTGAACATTGTTGGTTGTTGATATTCCAAAGTTCTGGTCTACCGAGGTCTCTGCTTTCAGCACACATCTTCTGGAGATTCTTATAACTTTGCCTATAGATCACGAGCCAATCGTCATTTTAAGGGACAATCTGATCTTCTTGCAAGCGAGTACTTGTACTGATTTTACAGAACATCCGATTTTCTTTTCGTTTTTTATTTTCCGTGTGGCCCATCAAGTAATTTCTCATATTAATTTAGTGTATTTTTCAATTAAGCTGTAAAATATTCAATGGTGTTGTGTATGTAAATTAATTGTGTGGCTGAGTATATGACATGTACTGGATTTAACTCATATATAAAGTTCCTTTT